CCCCCCCATTATAGCTGTGAGTGTCAATAAATTACTGTGTCATAAAAAAAGGAACGATGTACACGTGATCTGAGATACCAATATCTCAATATCTAAAGGATAGTGTCTAGAAACATTCATAGTCCATGGTGATTGGTGGCAGGTATCAAGTTAAACGAAGTTACACTGACTGGCAATGTATACGATTGCCGTCTCCCTCTCTCACCCCTGACCGCTATCAGGGTGCTCCTGAGGATTGAGAATCTAATCCTGGTGCGCATGTAACACATAATAGCCGCATAGTCTTCTCCTTCTGGGATAGTTTTTCAGTGAGTCTCTTGTGGTATCTTGAGGCTTGTGGACCCCATCCGCCATTTGTTGAGTATATAAGTGGGGTAAAGGTGCCTTTTTCCACCTGGATGATTCTGTTGTTGTACTTTTTCATTTTCCTCATTTCATGAGCTTTATAGATCTGTTCCATATCTTTTTTGTCATATGTGGGTGAGTTGGGGTGGGTAACACAGACATCAAAGAATGTTCGTTCAAATGTGCTCCAGAGACCTCGTGAGGATACATCAGGTGCAGCTCTATCAGCATTGGTACCAACAATTTCTTCATGCTCACTTAAAAACAACTCTAAATCAGTAGGCTGTCACTGTATTAATGCACCACACCGCCACCTCCACTGCACTAAAAGTTATTCAATAAATTCTACAATCCTAATTTTGTATCGTGATGGAGACTGGTGTCCATACAAAACATTTACTAGGTTGCCATTTGGTGTGAGCAATAGCGAACAGCACGCACACTCTTTTGCCACGTCAACTTATATCTAATCTATTTAAAGAGTGACAACCATACTACACATTTGTGGCAAATCTCATAGTATAAAGATTACAGGAAATGTCAAACAGTATATATAGGGGGGGGGTACCACTGTCCATTTTATCCCTGCACAAAAACAACTGAAAAAAGACAAAGACAAGAGGGACAAAAGGGACAAAAAAAGATAATAGGGACAAAAAAGACAAAAAAGACAAAAAAGACAAAAAAGACAAAAAAGACTGGGACAAAAAGGACAAAATAGACAAAAAGACAGGGACAAAATGGACAAAAAGGACAAAAAGGACAAAAAGGACAAAAAGGACAGGGACAAACGAGACAAATAGACAGGGACAAAATAGACAGTAAAGAAAATAAGGTCAATTATCCGTTGAAATGCAAAAAATAAGTTCAGGCACAGTTCCAACAAGCTAATAAGTTGGGTAAATTCAGACAGAAGTAGAACAGTAAAGTCAATCTTGGTTATATATCCACCAGCGTGCGCTTTTTCGCATAGCGGGCTCTCACCAGCCCGCTGTCAAAGGGCCCGATATCTCTACAGCCCGCTCATGATATAGCCCGCTAACAAGTGACATTTAATTTGACCAGTAGCAATATAGCCCGGAGTTCTCTAAAATATTTTCAGTTTCTGTATCGTCTCCTGATGATACATCTCGCTGATGATACATCTCGTGAGCAGATGACATGAAATCTGAACACTGAACAGTGTGATTGATCCACACTTACACACTACACAGTACACTTTAATAGTTCCCACGGAAATATGTGGATTTAAAGAATGTATCAACTCTGAACTGTGAGCTCACCAGTCACCTTATGTTATATCGGATGCTATATCATATCAGTTTTCACGCAGATTGCCATGATTGGCTCATAATTAACACGTGACACACTGTTACTATGGTTACCAAATTCGTGGAGACGTTAAGTCTAAGCCTGTGATATCCATTAGTGTCGATAATTGTTTTGTGTTTACCATTTTCAGTTCACTATTTCAGTTGATAAACCTTGAAATTTAGGCCGACATTTTACGTGTTATTCTATTATGTTCCCAAAAGATATTTTGCCCTGTTTTTGTTTTGAAACTGCCATTTAAATTGATGTTATAAATTTGATCTTTAACTTTCATATTCAATGTCCATTGTCCATGATCAGACTGTGATCTCGAGCTCTCTGGGTTACTACTTTTGATTGTCCAGTCACTCAGTAGCTGCTACAGAAACTCTAGTAACTGGTTACCTGGGTAACCCTGGTTACCCTGGTAACTGATAATGACAACTCACGTGGTATAAGTAGCAGCTGCTCTGTGGCGACTGGCGGTGCTTGTTCTGGTTCCAGGGAGGGAGAGAGGTAGAGAAGTAGAGAGGGAGAGAAAGAGAGGGAGAGGAGGAGAGAGGGAGATGAGGAGAGATGGAGATAAAGAGAGAGGGATAGAGGGAGAGAGGGAGGTAAGGAGAGTGGGAGAAGGAGAAAGGAAGATAGGGAGAGAGTGAGAGAGTGAGAGAGGGAGAGAAGGAGATAAGGAGATTCAGGGAGAGAGGGCCTATATTTTGATTGTTTACAATAAAATTATATGTACATGAAACAATGAGCTGAAACATTGTTTGATAGCAGCCGGTTTTTCGTTCTATAGTCAGTCATTTTGGCCTGTTTTACATCTTAAACCAAAAGCAACATGATTTTTTCGTAACTTTTCTGAAATCTTGTACATTAATTTGCTGTGATTGTTGCAAACTGAAGCTTCGTGATAAACGCCCGCTGATGGATATACACGATATCATTCCTCGCCTCGAGGGCGGAACTATCGTATTAGAAACATGTTGAGAGTAAAAGTGAAACTAAATTAAAAAAGGATCTCTTGAAGAAACTAAAGTAAAAACTAATATCTGTAAGAAAAAGCTCACGCTGGTGGATATAATCCACATCACCTCGACCCGCGGGCGGAAAAATCGTATAGCACTCGGGCCCGATGGGCCCTCCGTGCTATACGAAAATATGTCCTCCTCGGGCTAGCGCCCTCGGGGACATATGAAATATTGCACGCCCGTGCGCGTGCAATATTTTGTTCCGCCCGCGAGTCTCCGGTGATATGTATATATATCAGCCTTAGTGTGCTCACTGTTCAAGACAACTTGGTCTAGTGCCTGCTCACTGATTCACATTTGAAGTTTGAGCTGAACTTGCATTGCAAACAACACTCAAAAAGCAAGACAACTAATATTGCACTGAGGGGATACAGAGGAAGAGATATAACTACTCTGTTTAGTGAAAGAAGCAGTTTCATGAGCCTGATATGGGCGTTAAAAACTTTGTTAAGAGTAAAAAGAAAGAAGATTGTACTACAAAGAATTTAACGTCTCTAGTGAATTTCTATGGTCAAGGTGGCCGGACAACTCTCCCGCCTTCAAATAGGCTGGACAGATTCACTGCCCATCATCTCAGAAGTTCCTATCAGTTCAGCGTAAACTGTGACGAATGTGACTCTCAAATGATTCGTCCTGGAGACACCATCATGTTCAGGAACAAGAGGAGGAATAAGAAAATCTTTATTAGAGGACGGGCATGCTTTTTCTCCTACTTCATAGGAAAAAGCAAATACCCATTAGCTCGATATTGTCGGCATATTGTTAATGGAAAAGTAATTGTGTGGGTCTGGGTATCTGCTTCTGGCCGCTATGAGCGTTATGATATTAAAAGATGATGACTTTTTTGATATCACCACTTGATTAATGGGATTAATGAAATATTGACTGAACCGTGTACACATTTATTTATGTGATGCCGTTGATGAATTCTGCTTATTTCAGTCCCTTCAGTGGTTTCAGTTGATTCTAAGTACAGCAAAACACTGACATGAAAATCCAAATTGTTGATGTCGAGTAGAATATTATATATACATTCTCTACATTTGAGCTTGTCTAATTTTTTGTCTCATTTGTCCAAAATTTTTGTCCCTTTTGTCCCTAGTATTGTCCATTTTGTCCCCAAAACACTGTCCTTCACAAAAAAATTTAAAAAAAGACAAAGACAAATTGGACAAAATGGACAGTGGTACCCCCCTATATACCATACTACACATTGAATTAGGATTTCTTTAAATATCAAATTTATTTATTGTAAACTTGTTTACTCTGTAATAAATGGCATAAAAGTGAAATTTTTGTTTAACTGAAATTTTTGTTTAACTGAAATAATTCTTTCTGTTATGACTTACTACCACCACTGGTTCAAGGAATTTGTGATCAATTTTTAAAGCAGTAAGAAGCTTCTGGTTGCTTTCACTGTCGTCTTTCAGATAATATGGTCTTCTAAATATTACCGGCCCTGGCAAGTGCACATTAACTTTCATAATAAGTCATTTTGAGATTTAAGGGTTAGTTCAAGATCACTGGCTCAGTGGCTAAGATGGTTAATCTGCTTGTGCCTTGTCTACTGGTCCTGAGGTTGTGAGTTCGAATCCCAGTTGGGCCAAGATCTCAAAACTGAAAGGCAGCTGTCACTCACCAAACCATGGTGTGAATGGTAGTGGCCCTCAGAAATAGTACCTACAGTGAGTTTAAGAACTTGGCCCTCAACCCTTGTTTTGGTTTTGCGGCTGGGGTTCGTTTGTTGTTCAGCATTGCCCATTCCATTTTCATTGGGTTGGGTCTCACCACCAACATGAGTGGAATAATGGTACTTTCTCTTTTTTGTCCTCTTTTTATTAAAAAGAAATCTTTGTACATGAGAACTTTGTTTGTCATCAGCATATCAAATGGTCTTAAAGAGCAAGCTTGCTTTTTCCTCTATTATTTTACTGGTCACGTGTATGGTTAAGAGTTTTATGACATTGAATGAATCTATTTGTTACGAGTATTAAGGACTGTTAGTATTTTTATTTATTTGTTTTCACTTCTAATTCTGCACGTTTAGGCAGTTGCTCTTGTGACCAAAGTTTTAGAGTTATATATATATATATATAATATATCCTCTATTGTGATGCTTTCGAATATTAAGGTCATTGAAATTTGCATCCTCTTAAAACCATTAAAACATTTTGATTCTTTGAATTATGTTTTTTACACGATTTAAGATATTGTTTAAAACTAAATATAAAATTCAGAAATGGTGATCTCAGAACTGTAATCAGACTTTATAGGTCAAATTGATGACGGTAATAGCAGTAATAGTTTCCACAACACCAGCAAAATTCTGAGTTGCTTGGACAGAAAATCTGAAAATAAGTTGTTTTAATATTCATACATCCAGCCAAATTTGTATTGTGAACCATTATAATATAAATATTAAATAGTTCTGTCACCAACACAATTGAATCATGTGGACACTTTTTGACTTTTTATCAGTGCTATGTTGTGTTAGGGGGGAGCCAAGTGGATATTTGTAGATATTTGGATAATGTCATCCACTTTTTTCGTGAATTATCCATTACAATAATCTACAAATATCTACATTTATCTACAAAAAATGTATATCTCAAATATGTGCCCAGAAATTCTACTGAATTTTTGGAGATAAATGTATAAATTTGTAGAATTTGTAGAATTTTCGTGAATTATCCATTGACAATAATCTACAAATATCTACATTTTTCTACAAAAAATGTAATCTCAAATATGTGCCCAGAAATTCTACTGAATTTTTGGAGATAAATGTATAAATTTGTAGAATGTCATCCAATTTTTTCGTGGATTATCCATTCTTCATTAATCTACAAATATCTACAAATATCCACTTGGCTCCCCCGGCCCCCCCTGTGTTATAATTATAAATTGCAACAGGTTATATTTCCACACAAATTTACAGGCTACTAACTATTACTCACTCTGAAAGTATACCCAGCAGGACAGCAGTGGCTGATTTCCTCAGACCCACTCAGTTCACCAACCTCTGAGATATTTTATGTTAGAGTTGTTTGAATTCAATCAAATGGCAGAGGTGCGATTATTATGCATCATGCTCCCTGGACCCTGGAAGTCTATCACCAACTGGCCATGGCAATTGTACTGATAATTATACATGGTGTGCCAGAATAAATAATAATATACCTAAATTCGCAGTTAATGGTTTTCGGGAGATGAGTAACCCTGATTATATTTTAATTCTTGTTCTACCATGCAATATAATATCAAATGATAATTTCTTACCATTATAAATGTTCTTTGTCCCTCGCATTTCCTTACAATCACCCTCTGCTGCGGGAGCACTTGCCACCATCGCCAAAACTACACCAAATGTCACCAAACCAAGCAGCTTCATTTTTAATACAGAACAAACTTTATTCAAATGAAAATGAAATGTTTAATTTCTGACAAGTTGGAACGTTTGTTTAAATGTGTGGATCTGTGAGATGTAGCACCGGTGACAATCTGATTATCTTCATTTAGCACAACAGATGTCTTTGTGCTATTTTTGACACGGCACTTATTGAGCGAATAAATTAGGTTAATTGCGAGTATCCAGGGTATACTGTACCATTGAAATTTAACGTAGACAATTTAACATTGCCAAGAGCTGAGTAGCCAAGAATTAGGGTGGCAGATGAATTCTCTAACGCCATGGGTGGGAGGCAAATATTCTTGTTGTGAAGCCTATCTTATCGAAAGGTGGAATATTTAGGGACACGCCAGGCTAGGTAATATTCTAAGCTGTTTACTGTATGATATGATGTTTGGACAAAAAATCGACAACATAAAAACTAAACCGTGTCTAACTTTACCCAGTATATTCCTGATTGTAGCTGTTAGATGAATATACATGAGAGGTTAGGTGCAAGGAGATTGTCACCCTGTGCACGTGAGTTCTACATTGACGGAGTAACTTACGCCTCCTCAGCTTCTGATTTTCAAGCAACTGGGAGTGTTATCTACAATGGGGAGTGGTCTAAGGTGAGTGGATTTTAGGTGACGTCACAATTTGTGTGATGATCTCAGATAACACATTGTAATGACATTACTTGTTTAAATTACTTTTTCAGGTACCGTATAACGTCACATTGTTTTTCAATTTATGAGTTACAGAAAAGTTTGAATCTTTATCGTACGTGTTGGCTGTGAAACAAATTTTAACACCAACTTTGGTGAACAGAGATAAACGAGTATTTTAGGTTTCAAGCCTGCTGGATTTCTTGCCAAAACAACAGTCACCGTCATATGTCATTATCAGACATCACTTAAAGTCGCATTATTCATTCTAAATTTAGGCTTACTTACGATCAGGTTACAGTCAAACGACACGGCCCCTCCAACAAAGAACTGATCGAGAAGAAGATACGGAAGAAGGATAATAGGAAGAAATATGTCGATATTGAAAGAGACATGATCAATAAAAGTAACTCCGAATATATTGTCAAATATTTTGGATTCCTCGAAGATCAGGTAATTTATGATTGTATTTAACGCGAAGTACATATAAATCTTTAAACTGGTAGGGTTCGCCTCCCTATAAAGATCTAATAACGTAGATATTTTGCCCCATTTGTTCTTGTAAACTCCGATCCTGGCCCCTACGGCATGACCCTACGGCAATGACGCCTTCTACCTCTACTACGGCCCCGTAATCATTAAATTAAAGAATTAAGCAAGACACTTAAATCCAGTTGAAAATACACTCTGTGGGTAAAAGTCAGTTTTACAATTGTTTTGACTTTGTGAGTGTAATGTTGCATTGGCTTGTTGGCCTTCTGTCAATTGGTTATGATTTCACTGTTTGTCATCTTCTGTGTTTGTAAGGCTGCAACTAGTAGTTTCACGTACGTAACACTGTAACTTAGATCATGTGCTGCTAATGAAAGGATGACAGTGCACAATTTGTTATACACGCTGACACTTGCACTCTCAGATTTGATATAAGGTCATAGAATTCCACCAATATAGTGCCAAAACAACTGTTATTATTTACCGAAGACGGAAAGTTTTTACTAACTTCTAAGCCAAAATATATTACATTACTCTCCGGCCGGTTTATCGCGTTTACATTCTGACACACAACGCAATCCTCACATGTAATACTTTACAGGTAGATTTGTTCCTGTACATGGAAAAGATGGCATGCTGTTTCAGACAGCTACTAAACAAGACCCTCCAACAAAACACCACATTCCCCACACTTCTACTCCACTCAGTGGCCTTCAGTGTGGTTAAAGCGCTGCAGTTCCTCAAGGAAAACAGCATTCTTCATAGAGACATCAAGCCTTCCAACATTCTGCTTAATTCTGCGGGTCAGATTAAGCTGGGTGACTTTGGGTTGTCCAAGGAGTGTGAAGATGGAACAGCGAATTCGAAAGGTGTGACTTAAAATAAACGTTAAATAGGTTAATAAATGTTACTATAATGGTACTGGCCTGGACGTTGCGAGTTCGAATCCCAGTTGGGCCAAAATCTCAAAAACTGAAGGGCAGCCGTCACTCACCAAACCATGGTGTGAATGGTAGTGGCTTTCATTAGAGCTGCGAAAATAACACGAGTGTATATGCCTGGGGTTGCTTCCCGACTATACTGCAGGGAAATCTGTACCGAAAGGACCGTGGCCGAAATGCAATTAGACAGGGAAATCGGCTCCCCGACTGCGGTCGATCAAATTATTATTATTATTATTATAAACATAAAGTGATCTCAATTAGTTTCTTTTTTCCATGCTTCAATGGTTTCATTAATTCAACATACGCCTGTTTTCAATCTCTGTTTGCTAAATGAGCAAATACTAGTATAAGATTTGAAACCAAGGTTTTCAAAACACATTCGACTTTTTGATTCGAATTCATTACTTCTTATTTCAGGTATTGGTACGTACGAATATAATGCTCCAGAAAGATTGGGTCCTGATCGGAAGAACCACAGTTACCCTTCTGATATGTGGAGTCTTGGTGTAACCCTTCATGAGCTAGCCTGCAAGGAACATCCAATCAGGTAACCTAGCTTTCAAATATCGGAATTTTATGCAATTAATAAAATAGTCTGAGTGGGGGATATAAATTATAATCAGCCTAGTGATGCGGCAAATCATGTTTTGTACATGAAGCTGTGATGTTTCAAAGCATACTTCATCAGTTATACTCTAGTGACTAATCTAGATAGTTTTATTCATGTGTTAAATAATATAATATATAACAGCGTCTGTTAGATTTTCAAACTTTTCATGCCTGGAGTTGATGAATCCATATTTTTGGAACATTTTTGGAACATTTTTGGAACATGTCCCAAAATTGTCCCAAAAGTGTCCCATGCATTTATTTGCCCTAATAAGCTCTAAATAGTGCCAAAAATAATTGTAAATGATGGATATAGGTAAAAACTAGGCCTAAGAGCCATCAAAACTCAAATAACATTACCCAGGTTCATGGAATGAACGAAAATGAACAAAAATGAATATTGTCCTAAAAATGCTCAGAACGGTTTAAAATTGGTCGGAAAGTGTTTATATTGGTCCTGGGACCACTCAAACCAAGTTTGGGAATCACTGCATGTCTAGAACCGATGTTACCTATGTTCCAAAATGTTCCAATTTTGGGACAATAATCCTCCTGAGAATCCAGATTTTTGGAACATGGGCACATCGAAGTATTGGCTGTATTTAAGTGCTGGGAAGCCTCAATTCGGTTTTCTAAGATGGATATAGGTAAAAACTAGGCCTAAGAGCCATCAAAACTCAAATAACATTACCCAGGTTCATGGAATGAACGAAAATGAACAAAAATGAATATTGTCCTAAAAATGCTCAGAACAGTTTAAAATTGGTCGGAAAGTGTTTATATTGGTCCTACGACCACTCAAACCAAGTTTGGGAATCACTGCATGTCTAGAACCGATGTTACCTATGTTCCAAAATGTTCCAATTTTGGGACAATAATCCTCCTGAGAATCCAGATTTTTGGAACATGGGCACATCGAAGTATTGGCTGTATTTAAGTGCTGGGAAGCCTCAATTCGGTTTTCTAAGATGGATATAGGTAAAAACTAGGCCTAAGAGCCATCAAAACTCAAATAACATTACCCAGGTTCATGTAATGAACGAAAATGAACAAAAATGAATATTGTCCTAAAAATGCTCAGAACAGTTTAAAATTGGTCGGAAAGTGTTTATATTGGTCCTACGACCACTCAAACCAAGTTTGGGAATCACTGCATGTCTAGAACCGATGTTACCTATGTTCCAAAATGTTCCAATTTTGGGACAATAATCCTCCTGAGAATCCAGATTTTTGGAACATGGGCACATCGAAGTATTGGCTGTATTTAAGTGCTGGGAAGCCTCAATTCGGTTTTCTAAGATGGATATAGGTAAAAACTAGGCCTAAGAGCCATCAAAACTCAAATAACATTACCCAGGTTCATGGAATGAACGAAAATGAACAAAAATGAATATTGTCCTAAAAATGCTCAGAACAGTTTAAAATTGGTCGGAAAGTGTTTATATTGGTCCTACGACCACTCAAACCAAGTTTGGGAATCACTGCATGTCTATCTAACCGATGTTACCTATGTTCCAAAATGTTCCAATTTTGGGACAATAATCCTCCTGAGAATCCAGATTTTTGGAACATGGGCACATCGAAGTATTGGCTGTATTTAAGTGCTGGGAAGCCTCAATTCGGTTTTCTAAGATGGATATAGGTAAAAACTAGGCCTAAGAGCCATCAAAACTCAAATAACATTACCCAGGTTCATGTAATGAACGAAAATGAACAAAAATGAATATTGTCCTAAAAATGCTCAGAACAGTTTAAAATTGGTCGGAAAGTGTTTATATTGGTCCTACGACCACTCAAACCAAGTTTGGGAATCACTGCATGTCTAGAACCGATGTTACCTATGTTCCAAAATGTTCCAATTTTGGGACAATAATCCTCCTGAGAATCCAGATTTTTGGAACATGGGCACATCGAAGTATTGGCTGTATTTAAGTGCTGGGAAGCCTCAATTCGGTTTTCTAAGATGGATATAGGTAAAAACTAGGCCTAAGAGCCATCAAAACTCAAATAACATTACCCAGGTTCATGGAATGAACGAAAATGAACAAAAAATGAATATTGTCCTAAAAATGCTCAGAACGGTTTAAAATTGGTCGGAAAGTTTGGGAATCATGTCTAGACCCGATGTTACCAATGTTGTCACAATAATCCTCCTGAGCATCCAGATTTTTGGAACATGGGGACATCGAAGTGCTGGGAAGCCTCAATTCGGTTTTCTAAGATGGATATAAAAAAAACTAGGCCTTATAGAGGAGCCATCAAAAGTCGAATAATATTACCCAAGTTTATGGAATGAACAACGAACATGAAAATTTTCCTCAAAGCACTCAGAATGGTTAAAAAATGGTGGCAAAGAGTCAATATTTTCGTCCAACAGGGTCTTAAAGTTGCATTCAGAATTATGTACAATTAAACAGAAATTATTTTATTGGGCAAATATTTTTGTTTTAATAATCCTCCAATATTTTGATATAAATGCTTCCCAGCACTTAAATACAGCCAATACTTCGATGTGCCCATGTTCCAAAAATCTGGATTCTCAGGAGGATTATTGTCCCAAAATTGGAACATTTTGGAACATAGGTAACATCGGTTCTAGACATGCAGTGATTCCCAAACTTGGTTTGAGTGGTCCTAGGACCAATATAAACACTTTCCGACACATTTTAAACCGTTCTGAGCATTTTTAGGACAATATTCATTTTTGTTCATTTTCGTTCATTACATGAACCTGGGTAATGTTATTTGAGTTTTGATGGCTCTTAGGCCTAGTTTTTACCTATATATCCATCTTAGAAAATTCGAATTGAGGCTTCCCAGCACTTAAATACAGCCAATACTTCGATGTGCCCATGTTCCAAAAATCTGGATTCTCAGGAGGATTATTGTCCCAAAATTGGAACATTTTGGAACATAGGTAACATCGGTTCTAGACATGCAGTGATTCCCAAACTTGGTTTGAGTGGTCGCAGGACCAATATAAACACTTTCCGACCAATTTTAAACTGTTCTGAGCATTTTTAGGACAATATTCATTTTTGTTCATTTCTGGTCATTCCATGGGTAATTTTATGCGACTTTTGATGGCTCCTAGGCATAGCTTACGGCTATATCCATCTTAGAAAACCGAACTGAGCCTTCCGAGCACTCAAATACGGCCAATACTGCGATGTACCCATGTTCCAAATTTATGGATTCATCTACTGCATGCCTGATAAGGTCTACCGCGCTCACGTGCGCGCGCAAATTTTCCGCCTTGTTTTGATGAAAGCACTTCTGTTTATAAAGCGCGCGATTTCCTCCAAAACAGTACATGACATGACAGATGGGTTTATTTTGCAAAAATAAACCCATCTGTTATTATTATATCGTTCAGACTTTCGTATCGGACTTTCATATTGGATTGGCGCTATCGCCTTGAAGCTCGGCGGTTCTCTAAAATGATTTTAATTTCCATATTTCCTCTATCTGCCAGGAAGTTGGCTCTGGAAGATAACGAAACATGCTCTAAGTTCGAGTTGATGATTGTCGTCACTCAGTGTGAACCACCACAACTAGATACTACTCAGATTAACTCTCCACATTTCTGTGACTTTGTCAACAGGTTCGCTTTTATTTGTTTTCATTGTATAGATTCGGTTATGGGGGATTTAATAGTTTCAACCCAAACAATATTTCGATCCTTGTTTTCATTTCAGGTGTTTACAGAAAGTTCCCGAAGAACGGATTCCTCTGGAAAACATTGTCCTACACAAAACCTTTTCTGAAATGTTAACAGAAAAAGATGTGAGGAAGTGGTTGGAATCACAGCGTGAGTAATTGCTGAGAATTGTGAGCGTTTGATCGTTTTTAAAGAATAAAGAGGGATGGTTTTATCCAGCAACTTTAAAGAGTGTTACCAATTTACCCAGCAATGGTGATATCTTGATATAGCATTCGATTCTTTTATTACTGCGGTTATTTTTATCTGATTTTGTGACTTTTCAACGAACATTTTTCCGACCCCATGCATACAGGCGGAAAGAAGGTCTCGAAAACTCATTGCTTTAAAGAAAAATTGTTTCATTAAAAAAGTTATTGATAATGATAATGACGCGACGGTATTTACAAAAACCTTACTTCGTATTATTACATTTTTTATTGATTTTAATTTGGGTTTTGTTGGATGTAAAGTTTGATAGTTTTGTGTACAATAAAGGCAATAGTATGAGCCATCTATGTAGTAATTTTGTGGATAAATCGTTTTTTATTTGTGTAGGTACAATGAATTGTACAATTACATAACACTTTTCTTAATTTTGTTTGTAGCTATATAGTAAAAAGTTTATGTCTAGATACCTTTTTTGGTGACCCTTTTGTGATGTTTTTCTCTCGGCCAAAATCAATGTGTTTGATCATTATATAAGTTAAAAACTGGGTTTTTGTAGTTTGGATGCTACTGGCCTAAATTTGTCACATGCTCATTGTTAACAAGGTGAGTCAGCTTCAAGTTTTGCTAATTTAATAGCATGATTTACTGATCATGGCCTTTCTCGAAAACATAACGATTTTTTATCAAGGAGGTTTTAAGTCTGCCAACAGATCGGCGTACCGGTGGGTAGAAAACCTTATTTGTTTTGACACGTGACAGTGATTCTGGGTTGTTATTGGTTGATCACTGTCACGTGTCAGAAAAGAATATGGTCACCTCCCCACCAGTATCCAGACCAATAATAAACCCACAACACTGAGTTACCATTACCGCTAGGTGATTGTCCGGATCGGTATGTGTCACGTGTCAGGTCACGTGTCAGCTCCATGTTATCCAGGGTCTGGTCTAATCCTCTCTTTGTGTGTGGATGAGGCTCCAACTTACGAACCCTTGGTACTGCATTCAGGACCGGACTACCCGTTGCAGGAGCTACATTCTTACATTCCGTATAGAATTGCTCCACCCTCGGACGTTTAGTCTGGTCCTGATGTCTCCTTGCGGTTCACCAATCCGCATTACCAAAGTTTGCGGTTTCTCAATCCGCATTACCAAAGTTTGCGGTTTCTCAATCCGCATTACCAAAGTTTGCGGTTTCTCAATCCGTATTACCAAAGTAGGGCCACAGACTTTGGGTATATTTTATACCATACGTATCATGTATTTATCTATGTTATTATTTTCGATCCGTATCGGCCATTTTGATGCATGTAGTTAGTGTTTATATTCTAACGTTTTTACTGTTTATAATTCTTTTTATCGCGATTATCGTACAGCTTGGACGTTGTTGGTTGGTTTTTCGATTTATTTTTTGACATCGCGTGTCTTTTTGAAGTCATGTGGTACAGTAAAACCCCCGATCTACCGGGGAGTTTGGGGAAAGAAAACATCCGCGGGGTTTGCGGTAAATCGGGGTTTTACTGTACGTATCTCTACAGTGTACTGACTTACAAGTTATGGGATTCATTCTATTCAGCAGTTACGCTAACTCCAGCTCTGTCTAATTTGTAAATTCTCCAAAATTTTGATCATGAATTATAATCTATATAGCGTCTGATAAAGCCTTTATTGAATAGAATTTTACCGAATGTTCAATTATTCAATAGTCATGGAAAGTGATGGAGTTAGCAACATTTTTACTTTAACTTATTGATTTTACATTTTCCTTACTATTAACTTATCAACAGCGTGTTTCACTGTTTTCTGATAATGCAATACTGAAGAGAGACCCTTAGCATTAAGAATCACAACTGTGAAATGATTATCAATGAGTACTGAGTAGGAACACACAAGTATTTTCTGGTTCCCGCGAAAATTAACATTGTCTCAACTGACTCATAATTCAACGAAACAATTTTAGAATGACAAACTGGCAGAGGCTAATAGTATGATCTAGAACAACAAGTACAATGACGCTGCATCAGAGATAAACGGTGTTATAAGAATGTCTGGATCCGTCTCTCGTCTGAGGACACGCTTTTTAAACCGCTACCGGCAGTGTTACTACCACTTCAACTTGTTCAGGTAATATTTTGTATGAATCTCCACATTGGTTATAATCTAAAATCTTTTTCTAATTTTTTTCCCGAAGAATGTCAGGAATCTGACCCCCAGTCCAGGCCGTAATTCATTAGCATAGAAAGTTATTATCTAGAATACAGAATACCTTTAAATCGTCTCAACACCATACATTTGGTCAGGTACAATGCTTCGAAAGATTGGAACGAATGGTACCGTCTCCCCGGATTAGACAAGATATGTAGTTTACGGAGTAATGGTTGGAGAGAGAAAGCGTTCTACATCAGAGATCTGGCTAGACCAAGAATACACGGTTCTGTTAAGAGCGAGGATACCATACAATCTGAAGGTTCTGCTGCCAAGGTACATCATGTGTTTTTATTGGCTTCAAGAATTGTATCCTTTATTCAGTCTCAATGTGTGTGGTACATGTTGCATTTCGTCATTGAGATATTATGACTCGACTTATGGGCTGTTGAAAATGTCATGACGTTTCCTTACATGGTTTTGCAAAACATGGGAAAGAAGCAAGAATTCTTTTGATTGCTGTACATTCAACATTGCCATGTGATCTGAGAAGCCATACAATTTTATTGGAGTGATATTTTATTCGGTCGAAAATGCTATGCGTATGTTTATATTTTATACTATTTCATTCAAGTAATAGAATCTATTTCAGGTCCCGTTTATGATAACAAAGCAGATGAAGCTTAACCTATTGGACTTGGGCTACACGATAAAGGATATCAATGGTCTCACACCCCTTGAAGCACATCAGATTCTTTCTGATGGAATTAGTGTTACAAGATCTCTTTCTGAAGAAGAAATTGAAAAAGAAAGCACATCTAATCCTGGTGATGTTATAAGTTTAACAGAAACTTTATCTGATAACCCACGCGACCAAGAACTACCACCGCATTCCCAGGAAGATCTCAGAAAACATCTGTTAAATGTTTATAGAATCCAATCAGGTCTTGGTAGCGTCAGGTTGAAAGTTAACTCCACGCTAGTCTCCATTGACAGGGCTAACTCAGCGATATCAGCAGCTCTGGAAGCAATCCAAAAATAGTCTCGAGCTGGTATGTTTATATATTAGTATATTTCCCACGACCATCAACTTGGTAATTTGAGCAGATGTTACTTGACTCCACAGCAAATTATGTCCACGAGCGGAATATCAAAATGCCCTTATTAGGGAGCAACTCCCTTATACGGTATTCATAATTGCTATATAAGGCATTCCTAAATGCCCATTTTGGGTATCGGGGGAGTACGTTGTAGTTATGTGGGTTCTCGCCGTGTGTGCAAAGTCCGGACCATGCTCGACAGATTTAAATCCTGGATCCCAGTCACGCTAACAGCTAGTAGTACTCGTTAACTTGTTGTATGTTTTCTTTGTGATGATTCTCGATTGCACTTTTTGTATGTATTTAGGGTATTTACTGTATTTTCCGTGAGTTCGTGATAGTACGACGCGATGAAATATATCGCTGGTTCGTACCAGCAACTATCAAACGTATTAATTTATCAAACATTGATCTATGATACTATAATTTCTATTTATTTACGTTCTTGCCAGTATGTTTACTACGTTTTTCCACGAGGCCTCATTGTCCCGACTACTACCCGTGTAACTTCACTCCAAACTAAAATATTAGTCTTTTTTCTCAACAGTTATTGGTAGATCACCTAATTCCTGATCACATTCCACAATGGCCAGGGTTTGGACACCATGGTATTATACTGTTAAGGTTTAAGTTTTGTGGAAGGTCTACTGGAGATTAAGGTGAGGTCCAAATAGGAATCGTCCATTATAGTTTTCAGTTCTCAGAATCCTACTTAGTAACGGTTATATAGGATAAAATATAATAGTGAGACTCTTGTATTATAATATATACAACGTAAAATGTGCATCAAAATAGAAAACCAAATATAGGAAAAAAACGAAATGACTTAATCAAAAACCGACAACTAAGAAAAGTTAATCACAAAATCTTGCACAGTCCACTCTTTATTAGTAGAAATATTTCGAAAACGATTCGCAACACATAAACTTGCTAGAAAATATCAGAAAGGTAAATCTCTCACGTTTTGACAAAATTTCTCACTCTATGGTTTGATAAGGACCCCCTTCATTCACAAAGTTCCTCTTGATCCAATTGCAGGACATGCAGCTCACCATACCACCCCAAACTCTCCCAAATGTACGATCAAAACAATCAGGAAACTTCCACCAGATGAAAAAAACAAATCCAGCGACCAATGCAATTCCTCCATAAACAAAATAACGCCACACATTCTTATCACAGCACCACTCCAGGTAATACCCGTCTTCATGACCACTGCAACAGTCAGGCAGATCCCCCGAACACCGCGTATGAGACCTACCACAATTGTCAGAGTCAGCCCGGTATTTCAGGAAGGGTTCAGGTGTTCTTCCTAGTGTTACAGCTGCTGATTGGAGGAACACAATTGCTGAAAGCAGGGCTTTATTTTGTAGTGCCATGTTGTGGTGTCCTCGGTTGATTAAAGCTGGATGTTTAAGGAGCTGTTAACATTAATCGCAATTGCTACGTGTTATGTGTATAATGGGATTATTTATAATTATATGGTTGTTATATGCACAGTGTTTTTATAAGGTATTTTTACAGGGTATTTTGTCAGAAGTTTATGTGGAATAATATGAAATGCAAATGAAAGTACAGATATACGCGCTGTATACCAAGTGTATTATTAGACTGATTCGGCTGATTAAAACTACGTATAGCAAATAATTGAAACGGAGAGCATAAGTGGGCGAGAAAGTGAGTAGTAGAAAGCAGAAGTAAACCAATATATCGCTGCTGAAGGAAGCTTCACTAACACATGTTACATCAACAGCTAGTATCCTGGAAGAGTAGATAAAAGAAAATATTAACGTTGACTTTTCTTGTAATTTGAGACGGGTTGTGTGTTTTTTAAAAAGGAAGTACATTTTGATCCCTAGACCACACCTGATATACGATAGCTGACTACATCACTGTCTTTTTACTTTCACAAACAAATAATTTATTCATTTAATAAGAAACGTTAAATTCTTTTAATTCTATGTCAGTATAATGCAAATAATATGATACTTAAATAAGAGTCATTTTAACCTGTTTTTAAATTCAAGAAAAATGACCATTCTCCACGTTAACCGTTTGTTAACAGAAAACCTTGTGTATAGAAACCATAATGTCGAACTCTGCACGTGTTGGTACGCGCATCAGCACACGTGTAAACAAGTTAGCGGCACGCAAAGTAACAGACAGGGACGCCGTCCAGCAGATATGTGACCAGCCAGCTGCCCGAAAATTCATGAGCTGGCTAGATACCGTCCTCCAGGTAAATCTGCTCAATTTTATTTGAATACCTGATAAAATTAGAGCCGGACCAAATTAATTTGTTCCGAGAAATCTTCAATTTACATAAAGATTTTGAGCGGATATTTATAATGCAAGATCCACCAGTCTTTACTGAACTTGACATTTAAAATTTGCTAATTAACAGTTTGCTAATTTTTAAATAATAGTGTATTAATTTGATAATTGCTAGTTTACTAATTCTTTAAATGCTAATTTACTAATTTGTTAAGTGCTAATTCACTAATTCAGTTAATTGACTACAGGAGGAGACTCTAACAGAAGTGGAGTATGAGAAGTACGAGGAGATGTGTACTAGTGAGATAGACGACCTGTTCGCTGAGGAGGACGTTAAACTGCCCAGGTTATTGCTCATTAGTTGACTGTTAAGTGTAGAACCGTTGGGCCAGGTGGAATCGCGTAATTTGCAGTAAATATTATGCATTTTTGTGTATTTATGCGATAAAAATGAGGAAAGATGCGGAATTGTGTAACTGCGGTTATGTACCGCTCACAGAGGACGCCTCTTGATATAATATCTTCATTGGCCATTACTTAAGTGTTATTCGTAATTTCGTATACATACTGTAGATTGTTTTTTGTTTCAAAAAGTTGACGAGATTAATCTGTAATAAATATTTACTGCAATTAAGCGCATGGGAACCAAGTATGAGCACTAAACAAAGAAGACGCTGGAATGTTTAACTGAATCTAAAAAGCAAATAACAATACACACACATTGACATACTATCTGCATTCTGCAAACTGTAACGGCAAACATCCGTCAGAGCGATAATATGTACGTATAATTATAACTTATAACTTAAAATATGCATCAGCTAGAGCTTTATCCGTCTAGAAATTTCTCTGGAAATAGTAACATAATACATAATAAAAGCTAAAATAGCTTAATTTGTGGTTCCTAGCTCCTTCCCCTGCTTACATGTACATTCCTAAATACCAGGTTACGAAGTGAGAAGTCAGGCCTGGAAGCGGAAGTAGCAGCACTACAGCAGGAACTGCTGGAATGTCAGGACAGCGAGAAAGTTTTCAGCAGACAGTACAACATTTTGTCTGGTAATTATTAGTTTAAGTGCTGATAATTGATTAATCGTTTTTTTATTATTTAGCAAGCAGCAAAAGGACAGAAAGAAGTTGGAACTAAGCAACAGATTATTTAAACTAATTTTTACCACCGAACATCATCAAAAATCAAAAACTGAAAGCATAGTTTTTAACCTGTAATCAATTGACTGAATAGTTCCAGCCTACTGTATGTCCCCTGCCCTGTCTTCAGGTGCACACTGCAAAGTCTCTATGTTCCTGACCTCGTCTTCAGGTGCACACTGTACAGTCTTTATGTTCCTGACCTCGTCTTCAGGTGCACACTGAACAGTCTCTATGTTCCTGACCTCGTCTTCAGGTGCACACTGTACAGTCTTTATGTTCCTGACCTCGTCTTCAGGTGCACACTGAACAGTCTCTATAGCTCTATGTTCCTGGCCTCGTCTTCAGGTGCACACTGAACAGTCTTTATGTTCCTGACCTCGTCTTCAGGTGCACACTGAACAGTCTCTATGTTCCTGACCTCTTCTTCAGTTGCACACTGTAAAGTCTTTATGTTCCTGACCTCGTCTTCAGGTGCACACTTCTCAGTCTCTATGTTCCTGACCTAGTCTTCAGGTGCACACTTCTCAGTCTCTATGTTCCTGACCTAGTCTTCAGGTGCACACTGCACAGTGCACAGTCTCTATGTTCCTGACCTCGTTTTCAGGTGCACACTGAACAGTCTCTATGTTCCTGACCTCGTCTTCAGGTGCACACTGCGCAGTCTCTATGTTCCTGACATCGTCTTCAGGCTCACACTGCGCAGTCGTCATGTTCCTGACATCGTCTTCAGGCTCACACTGCGCAGTCGTCATGTTCCTGACCTCGTCTCCAGGTTCACACTGCACAGTCTCTATGTTCCTGAACATCTCGAGATGACTAGATTCTTGGTTATCCCTGATCATGTTTACCAACCATCTCCATCTTGCCCATATGCAATCAACAGCCTTTTTGTATCGGTCACTATAGAATACGGGATTCAAGAAACTGTTGACGGGGATGACCACTAGAGCGAAAACCTCGAAGACTGAAGGTGGTGCTGATTGTTTGGGGAAGAACGCGTAGTAGACTGTTGCCATGATGAAGAGTATCCAGGCTATGAGTTGACTTCCGATCATCAGAACTACTTTTAGTGTTAGAGATTTTGTAATATCCGCCTTTTGATCTCCTACACCGCCGGCCCTCTGGCCCCCCTGTGCCAATTGTGCTTGTCGTAGAGCCGCGACACGTACTTTACTCTTTCTATCTTCCAGCAATATATTGGTGTATGTAACAAGTACTGTGACCAACATGTTGCAACAGCAGTGCCAGAGTTATGCAGTAGAGAAGTTTGTAGATCTGATAAGATTCCTGGTGTTTGAAGATGTTGTGAACACATAATCCGATGTTGCCGTAGTAGCCTATCTCCTCACTATCGAACATGCTTCCCTTGGAAGTCGTGTTTCTGAGCTTTTCAAGCATTGTGTTTGTGTTACTTTCCATGGCGAATGCACCGTGGTACATTCTCGTAATTCTTGACATGTTGATAGGGTTCTTGCTGAAAAATGGATTTTCATCAAGATTAGTGAAGAATATTTCC